CGTTCAGCACGATAACTTAGTTCAAGTAGTCGACGGTGGAGCTTGGCGTATTGCCACTCGGTGCGAGACATGGCACCGTGCTGTGGAGAGATGGGTGGAGCGGCCCACCCTTGCACAAAACGAGGAGGCTTGCCACGCCCTCTCGTACCCTTCTTGATATGACCATCACAACATCTATCTAAGAAATCCTCCGCAATCGTATTGGCAAGAGCAAAAGTGTCCTCAGCATTGCCTTGTGCCAGCGCAAGCTGTTCAGCATGTTGGTCAACCAAGTGGGCGCCAAGTGCTTCGCGTTCATCGTGTGGCATGCTGATGTGAGTAACGTCATAGAGCTTCGGGCGTTCCCACCGTCGTCCTCGCGCTGCAAAGGCGTCCACATTGAGAGTGACTTCGAGGGCGAGATGTCCAGGGCATTTGAATTCGCGAACAATCTGAAAGTCGATGGCCATAGCATTGGCGCTATCATTCGCAAAGATGTAGTCAATCCTGGAGGTGTGTTCGATGGGGTCGTAGCGGTTCCAGTTGGGGTCGCGGCCGTAGGTCATGGCGCCCTGGTCGGCATATCCGTTCGAAACGTTGTTCCAGCCGCCTTCCTGTAATACCCAGCTGAGAAACGCAGACTCGGTGACGTCGCACTGGGCATCCATGGTAACGAAATAGGGGGCAGCCGTACTTCGAAGAGCAGCTGCTTGCCAAACGTCCGCGAACAGGTCCTCGTTAGACTCTGCGGCGACTCCGTAGACGGTGGCGAGGTAATAACCAGTGGTCTGCTTCCCTTTCTGGTTGGGGATGGGAACGAAAACCTCCTTCCAACGCTTTGTCGCAAGAAGACGTTCTTGAACGGGGTGTTGGCAACCCGTAGGGACCATGGGTTCGGAGGTCGGAGTGACGATGGCGACGCCCCCATGCTCAGTGTTCACACCTTTGGTCACGCACTGGCGCTTGCCATTCTGCGCTGGAACCACACGCGCGCCCGGAGAGAGAGGCGGGCCCCAATGTGCGTTCCACCCATGTCGATGGAGATGCTTATCAAGGTCCGAAAGTTGATGAGGTGTGTGACGCACTTCTTGTAGAGCTGCAACGGCGACGCCTCTATCGCCAAGAGCTGTGAGCAGTTCCCAGTGAGCTTGCAGCGAGGTCACATTGAGTGAGGCGAACTTGTGATAGTCAGGCCCGTCACCCAGAGTTGAATCAGAGCACGCTCGCGTGCGATGACTGCGGCTACGACACTGTGGCAAAGTCGTCAGAACCCACAAGACAAAAAAAAAAAAAAAAAAAAAAAAAAAAAAAAAAAAAAAAAAAAAAAAAAAAAAAAAAGTGTCGCTTGAGACGATGCGTTCGCATGAAGGGGGTTGGATCGAGGCGGAGCCTCCCGAGTAGTAGTCTCGGCCGTGTCGCTACCGCGGCAGTCACCCAGACTAGCTGTAGACATAGTCGAGCATGTGGTACGATACTCGTTCCTGCAGCCATCCCACTCGCTGCAGTACCCCAAAGTTTGAGCGTGTAGACCACTACCAAGTGAATGTAATTGGTGCCCCCGTTCACGTACTTCCCAACGAAAGGCAGGACTGACCTTTCTTGGGCTCCTTCAGAGTTCGTCGTCGTCGTTGCTGCCCTTGCCGTCGTCGTTGGTGCGCGGCGTCTTCTTGCTGGGGGCGTCGGCGCGCTCCTCCTGGAGATTCATCTTCTCGAGGATGGCGGCCAAGCTTCCTTGGAGCTGGGCCTGGTTCGACTGGATGGTGTTGTTGAGGGCCACGCTCGCCTGCTTGATCTCGGTGACGGCAGCATCCGTTTTTTGAGCAACGTCGTTCAGCTTGGCGCCGAGAGAGGTGGTGGCGGTGTCCTGCTTGTCGAGCTGCGCCTGCATAGCGGCCATGGTGGTAGCTTGGGCACGTACACTAGCTTCAAGGGCCTGAATCTGTTCGCGTTCAGCATCAGGGAGACGAACAGGTACCGGGGCAGGTGGAGGTACACGGGGCTCAACTTGCACCCGCGTGTCGGTTTCACCTTGCGGAACAGGTTGCTCTGGTGGGGTCCCTTGAAGTGCAGCAAGCCAGGGAGGCGTGGCAGCCTCTGGTGCAACAGGTATTTTACCAGCAGGTTGATCAGGTGGTGGTTGTGTGTTGAGGGAGGCGGCGAGGACGACCGTAGGAGCTGCCGCTGAAGTACTGGCGGGGCTGCGGCTCCCGCCGGTGACCTCGGTGACGACCCGCGGCGTGGTAGTGCCGAACTTCCAGTGCTTGTTGGTCGGCTCGGTGTCGGAGCGCGCGATGGCGAAGTTTGTCTTCTCATTGATGTCGAAGCCCACGTAGACGATATCGGCGGTCCAGCCTACTGTTTGAGCAGCGTCCGCAACTTGTCCTTTAGTGGCCTTGCCGTTCGGGATGTTGTCGATACGCCATTTGCGTCGGGCCAAAGCTGTGGCGGAGCCTCGTACTGCAGTGGCCGCTTCGCCTGCTCTGGGATGTTCACGTTGTACCCGTAGTCCGAACTGTCCGCGATCACCTTTCGTAACGCCCAGTGCGGCCTCGTGGGACTTGGAGAGGCTGTAGGCCTCCTGCATGGAGATGGTCTTGTTGAACCAGACGGTGTGGATATTCTTCTTGTCGGTCTCCTGCTTCTCAGCGCCGACGCCGATGCACGAGAAAGTGAAAGTGATGCCCTGATAGCCTGAGTACTTGAGGAGCGCGTCCTCCTGGTTCTTTTGAATGGCGATCACGGCACCCAAGATGCGTTGACCTGCCTGACCTCCTGCACGTGGAAGGCGGCTGGGCTCGTCGAGGAGCGTGATCTCGGGGCATATGGCCTGCATGGTGGGCTTGATGACGTCGCGTAACCCATTGCCCATCGAGATCTTAGCGTCGGACTTGCGAGCAGTCTTCCAACGTTCATTGGCTGTGCTGCCCAGCTTGTCCTTGCGTTGCCCGCCGACGACGACAGGAGCAGCGCCACTGAACTGACTGCTGAAGACTTCGTTCATGGTGGGGTTGACGAGCAGAGTGTCGGCCTCGTGGATGGTGATGCGCATGACGGTCGCGTTGCCATCCGCTTCGCCGAGCTGCGCGACATTGGTCTTCATAGTAACGTCGGACTCGCCGAACTGGTAGATGACGCCGTTCATGAAGGTCTTCCGCGGGTTGGTGGTGCCGTGGGGAACCTTGAGAACTGGAATCTGGATCTTCGCATGGGCCCAGTTGTCGCTGCCCGTGCCGATGGCCAGGATGGCAAGCGGCTCCTTCTGGCGCCGTAAAGCAGTGCACCACTTCTCCGCATCCTCCATGTTGTGAAGGGAGACGGAAGACTCGTAGGTGCCGTCGGGCATCTTCTTGGGAGCCTGCGCGATAAGGATGGACCAGTCGTGCTCGTCCAAGGCGATGGGCTGCGGCTCGGAGGCCGCGGTGCCCTTGCCCTTGCCTTTCGTGGTGTTCGTGGAGCCGTCGGTCACAGCAGTGGCAGCCGAAGTGCGCCGCTGGTGCTCGTGGGTCCACGAGATCTTGTTCTTCGTCAAGAGCTTCTGGATGGCTCTCACCTGCTTGTCATCTGGGGTCTGCTCCAGCACCTGGTCCAGTCCCGCCTGGTCCTTATGGACCAGCTCGTTGTAGGCTGCGGCAGCTCGATCGCCACCGCCCTGCTGAATGATTCCGACGACCTTCGTCTTGCGAGCTGCGGGCCCGCTGATCTTCGTTGCCTTCTTCGCCATCTCAAAGAACATGAATGGACGCACGAGAAGCAAACAAGAGAAACAACCGATCTTCTGCAGTGGGACTCACTGTCGGTGCCGCCAGGAGTACGGAGAACGGACTCGGAGGGCAGATCGGAGGGGCTGCGCGCACTCGCTCCCCAGCGAGTTCGAGCCCGAAAGCACTGATGGTGATGGTGATGGTGATGGTGAAGGTGGATGGTGATGGTGATGGTGGTAATGGTGATGGTGTTGGTGGTGAAGGTGATGGTGATGGTGATTGTGATGGTGATGTTGATGGTAATAGTGATGGTGATGGTGATGGTGATGATAATGGTGATGGTGATGGTGATGGTGATGGTGATGGTGATGGTGATGGTGATGGTGATGGTGATGGTGATGGTGATGGTGATGGTGATGGTGATGGTGATGGTGATGGTGATGGTGATGGTGATGGTGATGGTTATGGTGATGGTGATGGTGATGGTGATTGTGATGGTGATGGTGGTGGTGATGGTGATGGTGATGGTCATGGTGATGGGTGATGGTGATGGGTGGTGGTGATGGTGATGATGATGATGATGATGAGGATGGTGATGGTGATGGTGGATCGTGATGGTGGATGGTGATGGTGGTTGTGGTGATGGTGTATAGGTGACAACGACGACAATGGTGATGGTGATGATGACGACGGTGAAGATGGTGACTATGATGATGATGTCGATTATGACGATAGACAGGATGATGATGATGTTGATGGCGATGTTGATGATGATGACAATTGTGATGATCATGACGATGATGATGATGATGATAATTATGATGATTGTGACGACGATGATAATGTTGGTGATACTGGTGATGGTAATGCTGATGCTGATGCTGATGAAAATGATGATGGTGATGGTGATGATGATAATGATGACGATGACCATGACCACGACGAGGATGATGACGATGACGAAGATGACGGAGCCGAAGACGACGACGACGAAGACGATGATGATGATGGTGATGATGGTGATGGTAATCGTGATGGTGATGGTGATGATGATGACGATGCTTATGATGATGGTGATGATGATGATGGTGATGATGATGGTGGTGATGATGTTGATGGGAATGAAAGTTATAATGATGATGATGATGATGATGATGATGATGATGATGATGATGATGATGATGATGATGATGATGTTGATGCTGATGCTAATGATGATGATGATGATCATCATCATCATCATGGTGGTGGTGGTGGTGATGATGATTTCACCCCGACGCCCGACCTCACGCCACGCCGCAGCTGCCGAGCACCCCGACCTCACCCCACGCCGAGTACCTGCCGCAGCTGCAGCCGCTGTAGCTCGGCCAGCCCGTCGCCCGCTGGCCGCTCCCCCGCGGCCTCCCCGGGCACCTGCGGCGCCGCGGCCCGCCGCTCCGCCGCCTGCGGGCCGCGCTGGCCCCCCGCGACCTCGCCGGCCGCGGCGCATCCCGCAGAGGCCACCGCCTGGGAGGACGCCAACGACCTAGATCCACCAACAAGGAACATAAACATAAACACAAAAACAGTGGCATCAACATGAACGAAAAGACAGGAACAACGACAACGAGCATGGGACATGAACGAACAAAAAAAAACGTGGACACAGGACGCCGACGAACAAAGACATAAACGCAAAAAAAACTCGGAGGCCCGCGCGGATTTCTCGGATCCGCGCTGGGCCCCCCCGGGTGGCGCCGCCAGCGCCGCCCCATGACGCGCTCCGCGCACCGGGGAGGGGGGCCCAGCGCGGATCCAAGAAATCCGCGCGGACCTCCGAGCTTTCGTGTTCATGTCATTGTTCGTCGGCGCCCTATGTCCACGTTTGTTTCGTTCGTGCCCCATGCTCGCTGCCGCTGTTCCTGTCTTTTCGTTTGTGCTGCTGCCACTGTCTTCCTGTGTTTGTGCCATGTACTCGTTCCCCAAGCCAGAGCGACCTGGTCGGTCTGGGCTCCCCGGGCCCGCGCGCGGCAAGCCGGGGCCCCCAGGGGAGTCAGGAGCCACGGGGGCGGCGCGCCCAAGGGGGAGGTACAGGGGGGAGGGGGGAGAGGGGGACTAGGAGAGGAGGAAAGGAGGAGGAGGAGGAGGAGGAGGTGGAATACTCGTAACGTCCCCGGGTCCGGTTTTTTAGGGAGGGCCTCTTGCAAGGAGGCTGTGCTCTTTTTTGTTCGGTCCGTACCGCCTGGGATCTCATAGAAACTCTGCGCTCTGAGATGCCACGCGGCCTTCTCAGAGCGCTCCTGCTGCCAGTTCCAGACCAGCCCAAGCTGTGGCGCTATTGGCCACGCGGCTGGGACAGCGAACGGCCCCCAAGGGATCCAGAATCGACGGAGACGCTGGCCTCCCATCTGCAGATGAGGCTCATGTTGCTCCCATCGCACTTCAGGACCACATCCCAGAAATAATTTCGAGCACCCAGACAAATATCGAAGCAGTGTCGAGCGAGTATCGCCTCACAGGGCCCGACACGTAAAAGACCCTCCAGGTTCGGTGCTTTCTTGGTGCTCGAACTTCTCTCTGGTGGTCAAGGCTGAAGCAGACTGGGACATCACCAGACGAGGCACGAGCCTGCTGAGAAGCAGCCTCCCTCTAAGGAGCCTTCCCCCCTCCCCCAATACCTCCCTCTGCGCGCGGCCGAGCGGGGGCGGGGGGGGGGCAGGACAGCCCAGAATCGAATCGGCGGGTCGAATCGGCGATCGAAAGGAATCGGATCGGCGAGAATCGACGGACAAGTCGGGAGGAGTAGAATTAAGTCGGGCCTGTCCTCCTGCAGGGGGATTTTGGACGAACATTAAAGAAATAGTTAAGAAAAATGCCCCAAATGGGTTTTAAGAATGCACATCAAATCGCCCCCAGACTATCTTTCACTATTTTTGACTAGTCGTCTGGAAGGACAGGCCCGACCTAAGGGCAGAATCGGCGGGAATCGGCAGAGCAGTGAGGCCTCACTGAGAAATCGGGAGCCACGTCGGGGTCCGAAGTCGAATCGAATCGGGAACGGAAGCCATCGAGGCCGAGTCGAATCGAATCGCATCGGGGGAATCGAAACGAGCCTGAAGTCGGGCGTGTCCCCCATACAGGGGGATTTGGGGCGAAGAACGAAAAATACTTTAAAACAAAAGAACAAATGGGGAAAAATAGTCCGAAGAAATCGTCCCCTGACCATTGTGTAACTATTTTTGGATACTCCTCCTGTAGAGGGACAGGCCCGACTCGAAACGAGCCCTGGCGGGGGGAGGCGCGCCCAGCTCGCCCACAAGTGCGCGCGGCGCGCCCCGCGGTGCGCGCCGCGCGGCCCTCGCGCCCTCGCTCGCCGCCCCCGCACCCCCTCTTGGAGAGGGGGGCACACTCACCCTGACTTTCGGTCGGGCCTGTCCTCCTACAGGGGGATCTGGGACGAAAAATGAGTTGCATTCCTATTTTCTGAGTATTGATCGGGCCTATGTTTTGAAAACTCCTCCTGTAGAGCCGCAGGCCCGACTCGAAACGGGCCCTGGCGGGGGGGAGGACGCGTCCAGCTCGCCCACAAGTGCGCGCGTCGCGCCCCGCGGCGTGCGGCGCGCGGCCCCCGCGCCCTCGCTCGCCGCCCCCGCCCCCCCTGGAGAGGGGCACATTCACCCTGACTTTAGATCGGGACGAAAAATTAAAAAGAGTCCAAAAATACCGCCACATGGTCAAAAAAATACTCCAAAAATCCCCCCCGGACTATTTTTCCTTTTTGAGTGTTCCTCCTGTAGAAAGACAGGCCCGACTCAACCCTGACTCGGCAGCCAGCGAGGAGGGGGAGTGAGAAAGGGCGGGCCTCCTCAAAAGGCTCCTGAGTCCCCCGCCCGGCCTCCTGAATAGTTTCTAGGCCTTCCCCGAAGGCACAGGAAGCTTCTCAGAAGGCCAGAGGCCTCGTCAGAAGTGATTTGAAGGGGCCCCAGGACACACAAATAAAGACACACACATAAAAATACTCCCCATATTTTCATCTGTATCGATGTATATATATATATATATATATATATATATATATATATATATCCGCCCGCCCCCTTGTGGGGCCACCAGGCTGTAGGCGCGAGGTTCGCACTTTCCTGTACCAGTTGTAGCTTGTAGTTTCCAGTGTTACACTTCTGCTTCTTGCTGGTTACTGTAACTAGTTGACTTATTGCTGGTTACTGTAACTAGTTGATTGACCGCGCGAGGGGGGGGAGGCCCAAACCGGCTTTTTAGCACCCCCTGGGCGCGTTGTCTGAATTGCTGGGGGGACTCGAAATCGACACCCCTCACGCAGATCCGCGGGGTCAGGGTCCAAAAACACAGGGGATTTGCCACATTTCTGAAATTCGGTGCCACCCCTCACGCAGATCCGCGGGGTCAGGGTCCAAAAACACAGGGGATTTGCCACATTTCTGAAATTCGGTGCCACCCCTCACGCAGATCCGCGGGGTCAGGGTCCAAAAACACAGGGGATTTGCCACATTTCTGAAATTCGGTGCCACCCCTCACGCAGATCCGCGGGGTCAGGGTCCAAAAACACAGGGGATTTGCCACATTTCTGAAATTCGGTGCCACCCCTCACGCAGATCCGCGGGGTCAGGGTCCAAAAACACATGGGATTTGCCACATTTCTGAAATTCGGTGCCACCCCTCACGCAGATCCGCGGGGTCAGGGTCCAAAAACACAAGGGATTTGCCACATTTCTGAAATTCGGTGCCACCCCTCACGCAGATCCGCGGGGTCAGGGTCCAAAAACACAGGGATTTGCCACATTTCTGAAATTCGGTGCCACCCCTCACGCAGATCCGCGGGGTCAGGGTCCAAAAACACAGGGGATTTGCCACATTTCTGAAATTCGGTGCCACCCCTCACGCAGATCCGCGGGGTCAGGGTCCAAAAACAAAGGGGATTTGCCACATTTCTGAAATTCGGTGCCACCCTTCACGCACATCCATCGCAAGGCGTGGTAACCCAAACTGCGAGAACTCCCTCGGCCCTTTAATCGCAAGGTGTGGTAACCAAGCCCGTAAACCATACACGTCTTACCAATCGCCAGGTGTGGTAACCCCTCTTGTGATCAGTTGGTTTTGCTGATTGCGAATCGGCTTCGCATGAAGTTTCGATACTGCTTCACGACAGCGCCAAGGCCTCATGACTTAGCTCTTCCATGGCCCATTCTCCGAGAGAGGGGGCCGGCGGCAGGGGGCGAAGCCCTTACGGTTATATATATATATATATATATAGATATATGTGTATATATATACATACCTATATATGTATATATATGTTTTTTATATATAGTGTTATTCGTCTTCCCCCCCACCCCCACCCCACACTTCCCATATGTTTGCATGTTGTTCTGAATGCCTGTGTGTTTTTCCCATCCTGATCATTTGCCAAGCATATCCATATTAGTGCAACATACAAGGCATTCTTTGTACACCCGCCACAGGCTCGCCTGGCAACGGCTATGCCGCGCCAGGGTCGCCGAGAAGCAGTTGACTGCGCAACTTCCTTTGGTCTCCTTTCTGGTCTAGGACTGAATATGCCCACTCTTTCGGGCACCCCTGGTCCAGTCCGTCTCCAGCGTTTCGGCGTGTGGTTGGCTATCCTCCTCAGAACCTGCCACAACCAACCACACGGGGCAGGCCGACGCTGTCACGAACGACACCTCGGTTTCCGACTGCGCGAAAACACCACGCGTACCTCTTGAATGCAAAGATACACTGTGTCTGGCTGTATTATGGGACTCCTTCGTACACACCAAAACTGCCAGAAGATGTCAAGCCAGGCTCTGAGGACCTGCTGTTCTTCGGGAGCCCACAAAGGACGTACGCGCCCAGCTATGTACATGAACGCGGCCCCTCGATCCGCGAGAGCGGCCGCGTTATACGAACATTTGCGCAATGCGTACTCTCGAAACCAGCGTGGATTCATGTACATGTACGTCCTTCTTTCGCTCCTGAGTTTTGGCCTTCGAAGAAGAAGACAACCTGAGAAGCCCCGAGTTTCAAAGAAGGGAGGAAAGGGAGGAAACAACCTGAGAAGCCCCGCCGCCTTCTGAGAAAGCCCCGCCGCCTTCTGAGGAGGCCTTCTCCTTCTCGCTTCTCCCCCTCGCTCGCCGCCGACCGACCCTCCACCCTCCGCGACTTCCGCCCCGTGGGCGGCCGTTCTGCCGCGAACCTCGCGCTCGATGCTGCCAGTTCGGGAGCGGCCAAAATTGGGTGTCCAAGAGAGGGGCGTGCAAATCATGACCGGCGGCATGTGCGCGGCCCAGCGAGGGGGCCAGGGACGTAAAGAAACAAGAAGAGGCGCCATGAAATCTGGGGAAATATCATGGCCCACGCCAGGATATCCACCCGCCCCTAGTCATCACCCCTCTCTCCTCCGCCCCCGACCAGTGAGCGAAGCCTCCAGCTTGGTTTCTGTATGCTACGCGTTCCTCGCGGTGCCTGTGCCTACGCGCGGGGCAAGACAGGTGCAGAAGCATTTGGAGGGGCCCCAGGACACACAAATAAATACACACAAATAAAAAGACTCCCCACATTTTCCCATGTTCTCTGGGTTTCTGGCTCCCCCCCCACTTCCCATAGTTTCCCATACTTTCGTGGGAATCGAGGATTCATTGTGCCTGTGTGTTTCTTCCTCTCCTGAGCACTGACCTTCGGAGCTCCGCGCGGGGCTCTTGCATCGGCGCGGGGCCACCACGGCGCCGGGACCGCCCAAGAACGGCCCCAGGAGGAGAAGCCGGCCCCGGGGCAAGGGCGAACACTGCCGGGAACCGCGCACTGGAAAAAATCAGGGCATCGCACGGCTGGGCATCATTACGCCGACACTTAGGTCGGGCGTGTCCTCCTACAGGCGGATTTTGGAAGAAAACATGGAAAACAGTCAGAAGCATACTCAAAAATAGTCAAAACATGGTCGAAGAATCGTCGCCGGACGATTTTTGTTTCCTGTTCTTGGGTCTTCCTCCTGTAGAGGGACATGCCCGACTTCAACCGTACGCCTGCACCGATCTTGGCCCGGCCCATCCCTGGGCCCAGGATGGGCGCAGGTATGTACAGTCGGGGCGTTGACCTAAGGAACCCTAAATAAGGAACGAGGTCCCTTTTTTCCATAAGTTAAACTTCGACTTCCCATCGAAAACATAAGGAAAACCTGAGGCAAACTGTGAAGCAATCGAGGAACACCGAGCCCCTCCCCAACGAAAAGGGTTCCTTCGTCAGCGCCCCGACTGTATGTACTTGGAGGCGGCCGGGGGGTCTGAGCTGGATGGGCCCTTCGAAACCCCGACCCCCTCGGGGCACGAAAAAATCACGACGGGAAGCTTTTTCGCGATCTTCGGCCTCCCTGGGATCTTGCCGGGCCTCGGGACCGTCCAAGAACGACTTGGGACGAGAAGCCTGTCCCGGGGAATGGGTCCAGACCTCCGGGGGGCGACGTCACGAAAAAGACGTGACGTCGGGGGTCTGGGAAGGGGGGACAGGGCCAAAATTCTTTCAAGATCGGTCCCCGACCCCTCCCAGGCTCCGTCTGGTGCATTTTTTGTTCACCCCACGTCTTTCCCCTGGAGGCCGGAAAGGCAAGAAGCCGTCTCGAGCCCAGAATCTCAAACCTCCCCCCCCTTCAGCGCCCCTCCAACGGCGACTCCACTAATGGGTACTTTGGCCAGTGACCCGGCGAACCCAATCCTCCCCGATGTGGGCAACGCTGCAATGCCAGAAAGAGACCTAAAGTGGCAACTTTCGGCAATTTTCCAAAATACCCGTTAGTGAGTACCCGTTACGGTGCCGCTGACCCCTTCCTTCCTGGCCCGAACCGGTGCTGGACCACCTCAGCCTCAGCCCCCCAGCCGGCTCCAAGAGCACACGCCCTCCCAGCCTGGGCAGGAAGGCACACCACGCACGCTTTTTGGCGGTAGCGTTAAGTCGGGCGTGCCCCTCTACAGGAGGAATATCTAAAAATAGCCAAAAATAGTCTGGGGACGATTTTTTCTACTATTTTTGACTGCTTAGGTGCATCTTTTATGTTTCGCCCGAAACTCGCCTGTGGGTGGGGATTTTGATGATTTACATTCTGATCTTTAAAACATGTTTATAAAGATTATGATATGTCGAAATTTGTTTTTAATATTTCCGATGTTTCGCCTGAAATTCGCCTGTAGGTGGATTTTGATGTTTTACATTCTGATCATTAAAATATGTTTAAAAAGATTATGATATGCCGAAATTTGTTTTAACATTTCTGATTTTTCGCCCGAAATTCGCCTGTAGGTAGATTCTGATGTTTTAAATTCTGATCTTCAAAATATGTTTACAAAGATTCTGATATGCCGACGTTTGTGTTAAATATTTCTGATTTTTCGCCCGAAATTCACCTGCAGGTGGACACGCCCGACCTGACGGCAGCGGCTTCGCGCGCAGCGACGAGTGCGGAGCGCGCGGCCGCGGCCGGGCACTCGAGAGGCGCTCGGGATGCACACCTGCCGCCACACAGCACCTGTGGGCGCGGATGGCAGGGACCCTGAGATCCTGGCGACTCCATTTTTTCGAGCCCGGCGTTTTCGCCCAGATATGCGGGCCCCAGGACTCTTACGGATCGATCCGGCTCGAAAAACGGCCCATTAAGGATGGGGTCTGGGGCTCCACCCGTGATGTAACGCAGTGCCCCCACTTGCTCGAGACGTCGGATCTCAGGGGAGGTGACAACCCCTGCCGAGGGCCCTGCCCGACGCGGCGGCATGGGCAGAGGAGGCGGGTCAGCGACTCCGAGGGATGTGGTTTGCAGAAGGTATGGTTTGCAACTGGCACCCTGAGGGGCACCCTGGGGGGGGCGAGGACCTCGACGGAGCTCTCCGCCGCGCCCCGAGGAGGCTCGACGTGGACGGTATCGTTGCCCCCAGGCCCCGACGGTGCCGATCGCAAACCACACCCTGGCGCAACCGCACCCTTTGTAGTCGCCGAGCGGGGCATGCAGCACATCCGGGCGCAGATGGCAGAGAGGTGCCACACGCCGGTCGGGGGACCTGCCCCCCGACGGGGCAGCACGAGGAAGGAGCACACACACACACACACACACTTTTTGCGCCGGCGGCTGGGCAGAGGGACTGCGCTGGCGATGGGGCACACACACGAACACACACACACACACACACACACATACACACACACACACACACACACACACACACACACACGCGCGCACACACGCACACACGCACACACGCGCGCACACACACACACACGCGCACACACACACACACACACACACACACACACACACGCACACACACCACACACACACACACACACCACACACACAAACACACACACACACACACACGCACACACACGCGCACACCACACACACACACACACACACACACACAAACACACGCACGCACACACACACACACACACACACACACACACACACACACACACACACACACACGCACACACACACACACACCACACACACGCGCGCACACACGCACACACGCACACACACACGCACGCACACACACACACACACACACACACACACACACACACACACACACACACACACACACACGCGCGCACACACGCGCACACACACGCGCGCACGCACACACACAGATCCTGGGACCAGGATCCGCCTCGACCAGGCTCCGTGCAGTTGCACATCGAGTAGGTCATCGAATGCAGAATGCATGTATCCCAGGATTGATTTATTGATTCTTACCTCGAATCCGCGGACACTGCACAGAATGCTCCGCAGATCTGCGGGACCTTCCTGCGCATGTCTCGTAACCCAGACCCCCGACGTCATCATTTGTTCAGAACTCAGAGTCCTCGACCCATACCCCGGGATCGGTTTCTCGTCCTGGATATCGTTTTCTGACGGCCCCGAGGCCCGGTGTGGGGCCCCCAGAGGCCGAGAACGGCGAAAAACCTGCCGTCGTGATTCTTGTCATGATCCGAGGGGTCTGGGAGCTCCGACGCAAAAATCAATTCCTCCGCGAAGCGCGAAGCGCGAATAACTTCGCGCCCTCGCGCCGCCCCCCCAAAGGGAGAAAAGGAGGACGAGGAGGAGGGGGGAGAAGGAACGAGGACCGCGAAGCGCGAAGCGCGAATAACTTCGCGCCCTCGTGGGAGCCCTTGACTGGGGCAACTCGTCGACACCCCTTGGGCGAAGCACGGCTGCTGCCCTTCGGCCGCCGCCTCGAGCCCGCCGGCGGCGCCCCCCGCGGCGCCCGGGCCGGTGCGGAGGGCGAGCCTGCGGTGGGCGTCCGCCCCCAGGCTCTCCTCGGCGGCGAGCCCCCGCGGGGGGGAAGCGAGAATCGGGGGGAGCGAACCCAGACCCCCTCGAGGAATCCAAAAATCATGGCGGAAGGTTTTTCTCAATTCTCGGCCTCCGGGGGCCCTCGCCTGGCCTCGGGAGCGTCAAAAAACGACTCGGGATGCAAAGCCAGTCATGGGGAAAGGGTCGGGACCTCTGGGGGTCGACGTAATGAAAAAATCATTACGTCGGGGGTCTGGGAAAGGGGGGGATAGCAAAGGGTGGGGTAGAGAATCGGCTCACGTAGCTGATTTTCCCAGCGCCTCCTGGCGCCGGGAGGCGCCCATGTATCGAGGAGTGGGCCCGGCGGCGGGGCCGAAACCAGCTGCATGCAGCAGATTCCCTTTCGTTCGGCCCGAGAGAAGTGGCGCACAGAGATATACGAATACTATATGTCCTCCTTGGAGGGGCGCGTGCGACCCGAACATACAGAATACCCATTATTGTGGCACATTGTTTCCCAAGCGGTGTGGCCAGACAGCGCCCGCCACGACGCATATACTGTATGATTTCTTGGTACGCGCGTCGCCCCTGGGGGGGCGACGCACGCATAGTATTGGTATGTTGGGGTGACGCCGATGGGAATGGGCGGGCCTTCTCAGAAGGCTCGGAAGTTCCCCGGCCTTCTGGGGAGTTGGCCAAGCCTTCCCCGAAAACACAGGAAACCTCGCAGAAGGCGCGGTGGCTTCTGAGGAGTCCCGCCGCCTTCTGAGAGGGCCTTCTCCTTCTCACCTCCCCCCCTCGCTCGCCGCCGATCTCCGGGCAGTCCACCGCCCGGTGCGGCGCCATGGCCTGCCCGCCGAGCGGGAGGAGAAGAAAGCCCAGACGTCGGGGAGCCTACAAACCCAGAGGTCTTACGCTCCCGCAGACTTGGAGCGGCGGGTCTCAGGCCGTTTCCGGCGCCTGGGGGCCCTCGCCAGGCCTCGGGAGCGTCAAAAAACGACTCAGGACGAAAAACCGGCCCCATGAAAGTGGTCCAGGCTTCCAGGGCTTGAAGCGGCCGGATGTCCAGGAAAGACGTACGCGCCCAGCCACGTACATGAACACGGCCCTCCACTCCGCGAAACCGGCCTCGCGATACGCACGCTCCCGCAGGGCGCAATCTCGAAACCGACGTCGATTCGTGTGCGTGTGCGTCCTTCTCTCGCCGGGACCCTCACGGATCGATCCGGCTCGAAGAATGGCGCAAAAGGGATGGGGTCTAGGGCTCCACCCGTGATTTATCGCAATGCATCGACTTTTTCGAAACGTCGGATTTCAGAGTGAGGTGAGGCCCTGAGATCCGATGTGTTCATTTTTTCAGCACGGGGTCCCCGAAGCCTCGACCCGCTCCCTGGGACCGGCGTTTCATCCTGAGCAATTCTTGCTTCACAGCCCCAGCCCCACGAAGGCCTCTAGGAGGCCGAAACCAGTGGAGAAAGACCCGCAGTGATTCTTCAATGCGTTGGATCCCCGTAGGGCGACGAGATCTATACACATCAACTGCTCCTGGCCAGGCCCATCATGGGCGCAGGAGCGGTGTACACGCCCTCCTGGCCAGGCCAGGGAGGCATACACACTTTTCCTCTCATCCAGGCAACCCCGCGCCAATAGCGCTAGAGTTCGCGGCAAGGTGGTCGAGGATACCCTCGAGCAGTTCAAATAACCAGCGTGACATGGCGGTCAGACAGCCACCGCCTTGGTGCGAACAAGAGACCCAAGCAGCTCGAGGACACAAAGGAACAAAAAGGGAGACAGGAACGCCGGGGAAGGCCGAGGGGCCAGGAAGGGGGACAGCCCGCCGTTTAGGGGAACTCAGCCTGACAGCAGCACAGAACATGAACGGGGGCCCTGGGACATACAAATAAATATCCCATAGTTTCCTCTATTTTCTGGGGGATCGACGATTCATTGTGTCTGTGTGCTTTTTTCCCTCCTGACCCGTGTTGGGAGGCATCACACTGCTCCTGGGCCCAGCGAAGGCCTGGCCAGGGCCAGGGGCAGTGGCGGATGCGTGCACAGGTCTCGTCGCCCTGCTCTTTGGGCCCACCTGGCCTCCCCCAGCTGCTCGCGGGCCTGGAGGAACAACAAAAAAACGGCATAAGCATCAACTTCGAGTAAGGGATCGACTGCAGAATGGATTTTTACTCCAGCACTGATTCTTCCGTCGAGCCTACGAACAATACGTAGAATGTTTCCTAGAGGTACTGAACATGCCTACGCATTTCTCGCAAACTCGAAGCACGAAGTAAATTTGGGGTAAACCAATTCTGTAGTCGATCCCCTAGTCGAAAAACTTTCGGTGGCCCGCGCAGATCTCTTGGATCGGCGCTGGACGCCCCGCTCCCGGGCGCGCGGCGCGCGCCAGGAGCGGTGCCGGAGGCGCCGCAGGGCCGATCCGCAGGAGAATCCGCGCGGACCTCAGAAATGGTATGTTTGTGCAGCTATCTCTCCTTCGAGTGCCGAACGAACAACACACACACATACCCATACAGTCGGACTTGATTGGAGAGGACACGCGAGAGGACACAAGACCCTTCCGAGGGCCACGTTGCCACAGAAATACAGGAGGCATGGGTCGCAAGACACAGGACACGAGGGTACCCTTGATCTGGCAGGGTCGACCTACTGATCCGGGCCGCCTGTATGTTTGTGCAGTTATTTCTGCTTCGAGCGTCGAACGAACAACACACACACACACACACACACACACACACACGCATACTACCCATAGAGGGGTCGGAGGGAGGGGGACTGGCCAGGGGCATGGGCGCGGGTTGTGGGAACCCGGGGGACGCTCCCGTTCGAGCGGGTACCCCCATGCCCAGACCCCCGATGTCAGGACCAGTTCCTCATCCTGAGTTGTTTCGTTGACAATCCCGAGGCCTGGTGAGGGCCCCTGGAGGCCGAAAATAACGGAAAACCTGCCGTCATCATTTTTTCATGACCCGATGGGGGTCTGGGGGTGTGGGTGCGGACTCTGGGACCCCGGGGGGCGCTCCCGTTCGAGCGGGGGCCCCCACCCGACAACACGCACCCATGCCCCCCTCCGTACCCCCCTGGGCAACCCGTCGGTCGGAAGAGGTAGGTAAAAACATGGAGTAGGAGGAGGGACAAAGTAGATTGGGCTCGGGTCCGCCCAACGAATAGCAGCACACAACAAAAACACATCGGCTCTTGAAGTAGGAAGGCGCTTGAAGTAGATTGGCATCTGGGAACCCCAAAAAAAACTTTCAACGACAGATGGGCACAGGGAAGCTGGAGAAAATGGAAGTTGGAATGTCAGTGAAAGCGGAAGTGGCCAGGGCTAGAGAAACTGGCAGTGGGTGAGGCGAGCCCGAAGCAGCAGGGATGCGGTGGCCAGTGCCGGAAGGGAAACTGGCAAAGGCTGGAAAGAGTGGAAGGGCTTGCACGATTTCCCCCAGAGCCGTAGGCGACCCGAGGAGGAGGAGGAGGAGGAGGAGGAGGAGGAGGAGGAGGAGGAGGAGGAGGAGGAGGAGGAGGAGGAGGAGGAAGGGGAAGGGGAGGAGGAGATGGTGGAGGAGCAGGAAGAATAGGAGTAGGAGGAGGAGGAGCAGGAGGAATAGGAGGAGGAGGAGGAGGAGGAGGAGGAGGAGGAGGAGGAGGAGGAGGGAGCAGGAGGACGAGGAGGAGGAAGAGGAGGAGGGAGGAGCAGCAGCAGCAGGAGGAGGAGGGAGAGGAGGAGGCCGGGTCGCCTGAGCCCGTCGGAGAAGTCCTCCAGAAGGGCTGGCCCCAGCCACTTCTTCCAGCACCCCCACCGGCCGACGGGCAGCCCCCTCCGCCCCCCCCCCGTGGGCCCCAGACCCCCGACGTCATGATCTTTTCATGACGTCGACCCCCAGAGATCTTGACCCATTCCCCGGGACCGGTTTTGCATCCTGAGTCGTTTTTTGACGCTCCCGAGGCCCGGTGAGGGCCCCCGAGGCCGAAAATTGGGAAAAACCTCCCGTCATGATTTTTTCATTACCCGAAGGGGTTCTGGGTCCGCCCCCCCCCCGTGGGCGTGCGTTGCTCGTCCGCCCTGGCAGGGCCAGCGGGTGCAGCCCGTTGCCGCCCGCGGCCGCGCGCAGGGCGCCGGGCCGCCGGTGCATGGCGGCGGCGGCGCCCGCGCGCGGCGGCCCGGGAGCGCCAGGTCGGGCGCGTGCCCCACAGGCGGATTTCTGGACGGAATTTAGATAAAATATATACACATTCTCATACGCACCTCTCCGAGGGAGTAGAGCTCAGAGGCGATTAATGCGCACGCGTCCGCGATTTTTCTGGGCGTTTCGCTCGGGACATCCTCGAAATTCTGAAAATCGGTGGCACCCCTCACGCAGATCGTGACGTCAGGGTCCAAAAACACATGGGAATTTCAACATTTTAACATAAAACCTTCAAAAACACATGGTAATTTCAATAATTGTGACCCCGATTCTCAGGGAATGGCGGTTTCGCTTGAAAAATCCTTCCAAAATCGAGCCCCAGACCCCGCCTCGGAGCCTCCTGGGGGCCTCCTGGAACCTCCTGGGGCCTCCTGGGGCTTTCTGAACCTTCTGGCACCCCAGACCCCGCCTCGGAGCCTCCTGGGGGTCTCCTGAAACCTCCTGGGGCCTCCTGGGGCCTCCTGCGGCCTCCTGGAGCCTCTTGGGGCCTCCTGAAGCCTCCTGGGGTCTCCTGGGGCCTCCTGAGGCCGCCTGGGGCTTCCTGGGGCCTCCTGGGGCTTCAGAACTACATGCACACAGAGACACAAATCACGCCCAACACATCACACGCTAGACAAACATACACACACACACACACACACACACAACACCTACAACACACAAAAAGCACGCACCACACAAAGCATACATCACACACACACACACACACACACACACACACACACACACACACGCACAACACTCACAATCCTGGGGCCTCCTGGAGCCTCTTCTGGTATCCAAGTCGGGCCTCCTGAGGCTTCCTGGGGGGTCCTGGTACACACATCGCAAGGTGTGGCAACCCCACTTGCGCTCGAGTGCGACTTCGATGTTGCATTTCACTCCTGCTTCAAACGCCCCTTCAGTTTTTTTTGTATGAGCCTGGGCACACACGTGCCACTTGTATGTATATATATATATATACACAGATATATACACATAGACAGATAGATATAGATAGATAGATAGATAGATAGATAGATAGATAGATAGATAGATAGATAGATAGATAGATAGATAGATAGATAGATAGATAGATAGATATATAGATAGATAGATAGATAGATAGATAGATAGATAGATAGATAGATAGATAGATAGGTAGATAGATAGATAGATAGATAGATAGATATATAGATAGATGGATAGATAGATAGATAGATAGATAGATAGATAGATAGCTAGCTAGCTAGCTAGCTAGCTAGCTAGCTAGCTAGCTAGCTAGCTAGCTAGATAGATAGATAGATAGATAGATAGATAGATAGATAGATAGATCTACTCCAGCGGCGCTCCGAAAATACCCACAAAGAGTCAAAAGAGATCCTGCACCGACAAATTTTGGGGGCTATCTTCCTCCTGTAGAGGGACGGGCCCGACTCCACGCGAGCGGCCGCACGCGAGCGGCCGCCTGGGCGGGCGCGAGGGCTCGAGGGCTCGGGGGCGGCGGAGCAGGAGGAGGAGGAGGAGGAGAAAGAGGAGGAGCAGCAGCAGGAGGAGCAGCAGGAGGAGGAGGAGGAGGAGGAGCGCAAGGGCTCGAGGGCTCGGGGGCGGGCGCGAGGGCTCGAGAAGGCGGCGGAGGGCGGCGCCTGCGAGCGGCGGGCTCTCGAG